ACTTTTGAAAGATCCATTCGAGTGGAAATACAGTGTCTGTTACGGCATGTGTACATCACCCCTTCCGTGCCTCTGGTCTCCTGAAATTCAAGCCCTCTGTCTGCAATTTGATATACTGCATTAATTGCAAACCAGCTGATACGAGCCTATTTTTTGTGGGTTTTTTATTGCATTACATTCAATAACTGTAGCATTACAGCACTGCTGCATGGTGCTCTGCACCATGTAACAAAAGCTTGGCTGTTTCGTACGTATAAATTTTAATAACATTCCTTGTTTAAAATGATAAATGCTTGAAAAGTAATTTAGAAAATCTAAGATGTTGAGCATAAATGTGTGTATGTTGGTTTTCCTTTTAGAAGAACTTGTGGGATTGTATAAATGGAGGAAAAAGCTTTAAGGAATGACCCACGATAAGTATTTAGCATCAAATTAATGACTTGATAACCAGGAAAAAAGCCAGAACTAATACTATTGAAGTTGTGCAAATTGATATAATGGGAAACAACAAGTCCTCCTACAGATTGCAGACTTATCTGTAAACTGCCCTCATGTTCAGGATAGCTAAATCCAAAATAGAAGAACAGAGAGTACTGTCAAAGTACAGGAGGTTTTCAGTGGACAACTGGGAATTCTGTTGTGGTAGAAAAACTTCAAAAAAAAAAAGGAAAATCAGGCAAATTTGTGAAGCTTATCGGTTTCATAAATTCCTGCCTGATTCTTGAGATACTCTGCCTCCTCCAGAGTTTATGATTATAAATCGCTGCAAAGCCGTAATTGTATTGTAGTTAAATATTTATACTCCCACTATTTATGTTTTAGTAGATTTGAAGAAAAAAATCATTAAATCAGAATGAAAAAGTGTCTGGTACCAGCAGTGCACTGTTCAAATGCAACCACACTTGGTGACAAGGTTGTTACTCCAGCGTGGCTTGGATTTGATGAAAGTAGATGGAAAGGCTGAACGTAAAAATACAGAAGAAGAGAGGAAGTGATGTGGGTAAACCATCAGGATAACAGATATGAGAGGAAGGACATGAAGGCATGAAAGGCAGTTTAAATTTTGACCAGTATTACAGCCAGTGTTTCCTGGACCTGTACAAGTGCCAGTACACCATGAAAAGTCTCTTGTTGCCTCAGTAGCAAATCAGAATAAATGAGACCATGTGTCTGCATTCCGGCTTGCTCCTGTTCCTTGTCTCCTACATAGAGGCAAGAACAATGTTGCAAACAGAGCACAGAATCAGTAGCAGAAATTCTTGGTTATCAGCCTCTCAGACATAGCCATCCCCATCCATCTGCTTCAGGGCAGTGCATGACTGAAATGTGGCTCAATCATTTTTAGGTTGATTGCAAGACAGAGAAGGAAAAGACAACCAGCTGTGATAAGAGTGGACTGGGACAGTCTTAGTCATTACTGTAAGCAGACTGAAAAGCAAGATACTGCTCTTTCAGAAACAGAACCACTGTTTTTGAAAGAATCTGCTTATAAAGCCTTGCATGTTATAAAATGATCTGATCCCTGCACCTACTGCTGAGTAGATCACTTTTACCGTTAACTACAGTTAACTATTTTTTACACACGACAGTGCACAAGCCAATTTTCAGTTAATTGCAGTTAATAAATCATAGGACAAAGCCACAGTTTTCAACCTAGGAATCTGTTAAGGCTTTCCATTGACCTTATAAGACTTCCATAGAGAACTGACCATTTCTCAGCATCATGAAGGCAAACCCTGGCGTAATGTGTAGAACACAGTTGGTATACTTGCCATTCATATTAGAGTACCATATATAATGTAACAATAATATTTGTAGGGTCATATGAGAAGCAAGTCAAGTTAACGAAGCCACTTAATATGAAAAAATAAAAGCTCGAGCTAGGCAATATGGTAAAATTCAGCACATGCCATGAGGAAACTAGCAGAGAACCGTGAGCAAAAGTAATGAGGTGAAGGGTAGCTGGGCCTGCTCTGCACCACTTGGATTACATCACCTCTTAGGACAGGGCTCCAGTTGTATAGTGGGCTGCACAAAAGTGGTTATTTTAGGATGCAGCTCCAAAATAACGTTGCTTGAATAAGCCAGTACTGTTGGACATTTTTACTGTAACTGGTAAAAACATGTGCTGAACAACAGCATGAAATCCTCTTCATAAAGAAGAGCTGGAATCCACATCAGGCCAGTATCTGCACTGTGTGACAAGTATCCATTTGTTGGTCACTTATAAAGCATGGCTTGATGATTACTGCAGCAGTATCAAAATACGGAGATACGCTGACCACTCAAGGCTGAAGGAACACCTAGAAGATATATTTGAGCAAAACCTAGACAACAAAGTGAGCAAGATGCAAAGATATCCCAACAAAGAGAAGAGTATTTCATGTGGAATGGTTTGCCAGAGTGGATGATGCCTCTGGATATTGTCTGCAGAAGTTAAGTTTTCTGGAAAGCACACTCAGATATTCTGTAAATCCCAAAACACAAGCAAACTAATTTAGATATGGTAGGAGGTTTGGCATCAGGGAAAGAAAAACTTTACAGTCTGACAGTTTCTACGCAGAAAATAATGGGTTTGGAGAATTTTAAATGCTGTGGCAACCTCAGGTCAATGTCCTTCCCACCATTCCCGCCTGGTAACAAGATATCTCAGAAACAAATTGATGCCACTAAGGTAACAATCCTCTTGAAAACAGCCTGATTCCAAAACAAAAAGTTGACCTTCTTGTTTAAGCACTGGGGAAAAAAAAAAAAGGTTTCAACTTGTCCAAAAAGCCTGACCTTAGGAGAAACCTTTCTTCCTTAAGCACAAGTCTAACTGAAACAAACCATGTCAAAGCTATGCATGGCAGGCAGGTAACTGTGGTACTTTCCTGTGGGTTGGGACTCATGAGTCCAGCTCTTTCTCTTGACTCTGGCTAAGCCTGCTTCTGACCTGAGTGGTTTGCTAGTCATCAGCATGGATAACCAAAACCACCTGTATGCCAGCATGAGCCAGAGCCATGTCTGGAAAGTTTGATATGCCATAATAATGCTTTCCGAATGAGCTATAAACACGTGGGATTGATCTTGAACAGAACTGGAAAGAGTTCGCAAGTCCTGCTTGCTTGCTACAGCAGGGATGACTTTCTTGGGAAAAATGCAGATGCAAGTGGTACAATAAAACTGGGAGTAAACGGATGCTTTACAAGTTTCATGGACTAATAAAACAGCTCTCCTGTAATTATACCTAACGTAAAACCCTCAGGACTCTTACACATGCATTTTGCAAGGCAGAATAGCAAATGCGATAGAGCTGGGCACTATGTACCAACAGGCTTTGCATAAGAACTTGTGAAATCATCACTACTCAATTTTTAGTCAGTTTTGCCACATAGCATGAGTTGTTCCACACTGCTTTATCTTGCAAGCAGAACGTGCAGCTCATGATTTGCTGGCTCTAGGAGCTGAACTAACCACGGATTTGATAGAGTCGTGAGTAAGAAACAATTTAGTTGTTCTCTGGGGTGAAGAATGGAAAGAAAAAGGCATGTGCTGATTGTTACATTGCAGTGCTGAACCTCCCTTTAATTCATGGAGTGGAGTCAAACAACTCCTCTGCCTCACTTCATATGGAAAACTGAATTTGTCTTTGGACTATTACTGTAAAGCAAGGGATACTCCCACAGCATCTGAAACAAAGGCTAGTAATGTTGGAGGAAAGACACCCCCCGACTTCCACAGGCATTGGATGAGGCTCAAACTTTAGATGCTTTTGGAGTGGGCTGATCGAATAAATGAGTCAAACTATACTGGCCGTTATTAAATAGAAGCAACAGGAGTCAGAGAGAGTTAATGATGCTGGAACATTTAAAAAATTGCAGAAATTCAGCCTCAATATTAAACACACCCCCCCCCCCCAAATTCTGTACTTCTCAGTAAAAACATTCATGATCCTCATGAACAATAATGAGCAAGAACCTTTTTATTTTATAAAATTTATATATACAAATCTATCATCTACTTGTTTGTCTAATTCACATTTGCCTGTGTTCCTTGTTTGTTAAATCCATTTTAACAAGTTAAGTGGAAATAATAGACTTCGGAAATAATATCTTGGGTACTGCAGCTGAAAACAGCTTCTGAACTGAAGCAAATCTGTTTCTCTTTAGTGAAATGAAAAGAACCCTTCAGTCTGAACCAGCTGAGAACCAACCCCTTTTGGGCTGTTTTCTGGAAATACTTTAATAGAAATAATGCCCACAGTAAATACAAATGTCATTGTCTTGCTGCTGGGACGAGACTAACATACTCTGAATTTAAACTGCTCTGGTCATTTCATTGTCTGCTTTTCTGGCAGACACAGTATCTGTATTTTTCCAGCAAAACTACCATCTTCCTATGCTTTGCCAATTTATGTTATGTTTTTCTGGAGGGGGGTGGTTTCATTTACCCTCCTTTGCTTGGCTGTCAGACTGGGGCACGCCAGAGCGGCAGGACGGGGAGAAACAGCTGCTGCCAGCCACAAGGATCGGCCCGGGGATGCTGCCCGGGGCGCCCTGGCATTCCTGACGCTTCCCAAAGATCCAAGGCACCCTGGCACAGCCTGTGCCAGTGCTCAAAGATCACAAGGGCTCCAGCATCGCTGCTACTGCCAAGCGTTGCTTCTGTGCCGACTCGAGCTATTGCCCCCCGGGAGAGGGAAAGGTGCAGGTGAAGTTTTGGGTGCTTCCCTGCCCGCCGGGCAGCGCTGATGTCGGGGAAGCCGGAGCGCGGAGACGCCGCTCCACGGGGCAGCCGCACCTGGCACGCACCGCCCGCGCAGACAAAGAGATCACGCATCTTGCGCCGAACATCACCAGAAGTTGTAGCGGGAGGAGGTGAGCTGCGCTGCGAGCACCCTTCCCGCCACCCCTCTCCGACCCCGGGCTTGTGCCCTCCCCACCGCAACACCGGCTCCACGGGCCACTTCCCCAAGCTGCAGGCGCCCGGGACCCTCCCCGTGCCAGCCCCCTACTCACCGGTCTCTCCATCATCATCATCTTCCTCCTCCCCCTCCTCCTCCTCCTCCCCCTCCAGATCCAGCAGCACATCTTGGTTCTCCGCATTCATGTTGCCGGCGTTCCGGGCCCCCGCTCCCGCTCTCCCGCCGCCGGGAGCCGAGCCCGCCCCGAGCCCTCCCTGCCCCGAAGGCGGGGCGGTGGCGGGGGGCGGGCGGGGAGGCTGCCGGCACCTTCCCAGCAGATCCGCCCGCCCTCATCCCGGCGCGCTGCCTGCGGGCTCCCGGCGCATCCCGCCGCTGCCAGCCCAGCGCTGGTGCTGCCCGCAGGAAGGCGCTCTGGGGGTCGGGACAGGCAGCAGTGCGTTTCCTTAGCCCGGACACCGTTATCACCTTCCAGCTGGAGCTGTCCGGGTGGGTAAAGGACGCTTGCTGATCTTTGGGCAGAGAGAGGCAGCGACCGTTGTCAAAATCGCCTTCTGTAAGAGGACACATTGATGTACTTCAGTAATAGCATCTTGAGTGATTAAAATGGGGAAGCTGGAAAAAACATACTAATCATTCAATCGTAGAATATCAGGCTGGAAAAGACATCAAGGATCATCTGGTCCAACCTTTCTAGGCAAAGCATGACCTAGACTAGGTGTCCCACCATGCTGTATTAGAAAAGTCCAGTGTTGGGGAATCACCACTTCCCTGAGGAGATTATTCCAATGGCCGATTGTTCGCTGCGTGAAAAGTTTTCTTCTTATGTCCAACTGGAATCTCCCCAGGAGTATCTTGTGCCATAGCCCTTTGTCTTTTCCATGTAAGTCCTTGTAAAAAGGGAGTTTCTGTCTTCTTTGTAGCCACCCTTTAAATTCTGGGACATTGATAAGGTGATAAGGTCTCCCCTGAGCCTTTTTTTCTCCGGGCTGAACAAACCCATTTCTCAGCCTTTCCTCTTACAGCAGGCTTCCAAGTCTTTGGACCATGTTTGTGGCTCTTTTCTGGTCCCATCCTTTTTTTATAGTGGGGACAAAACCTGAACCTGGTATTCCTTTGCACGTTTTGTTTCTTTTTCTTTATTTTTCTTTCAGTTGGGCATATCGTAGAATTTGTGTTCATGATCATATCATAAGCCAATCAAACACCATCTTAAAACTAATTAGGGAACAGGTTTTCAACAGGATCCAGGGTGAAGATTTTACAATCATAGAATCACAGATGCAAAGACGTCTCTGGCTTCATTCATAGGTTTTGGCATGACCTTTTGGCAATGGGTCAGGAGTGAAGCCCTGCAATAAGTCAGATGATGCATCCAAGCACTGAAGAACTCACCATTGATAAATACTTCCGAAAATGTGAAGCCCACGTATATAAAACCCCCTAACCCAGTGAGAATTGACAGAAACTAGCAGATGTTGGGGGGGGGGGGGAATGATGAAGGACTGGATTTAAAGCCCATTATTAGAGCCCTACTGATGTATTCAACATGGTTAACTATTTCATAGCCAAGAGCTTGTCCTCATCTCCATCTCCAGATACAAGCTAATAGAGTTTTGCAACACAGGGAATGCAGAATTGTCACTATGCAGAAATGCTGTGAGGGCAAACGTACTCATGAGAAGGGATTTGCTACATGAGCACTCAAGCTCAGCAATATACTGGTCTACTCACATGTATTGGTCCCAGAGGAAAAGTAGAGGGTTCCTAAAACTGGAATATATCTGGAGGAGTGCTCAAAGAGGAACTGGACGGAGCTTGAATATTGGGAAGAAATGGAAATGAGACTGGAAAAATGGATTGAAGAAACAGGGAGTTGTGTTTAAGGAAAGGAGAAGATAAGAAGAGCAAGATATTTTTTTTTTTCCTGAATAAAGCAATAAATACTGTATAAGCAATCTATTTTCAATCTCTAGTCCATTGCTGATACAAAAATGGCCCACAGGACCCAGGATGTCTGAAGTGTACAAACAGGAATCTGGACGAAAAGCCATTTGTCAGATAAGCCTGTCACTTGCTAATACTGTTATCTGTTGTCAGGCAGCTGTGGGTTAGAGTCACAGCAGGGCCTGGCATTACAACAAGTCGAAGTGCAAGCACTTTCAGACAAAAATGAGTTGGGAAATGTAATTGGGAAGTTTTGGAGCAACTCTGCTTAGCAAAGACCTCCTCACATTGATTGCTTGAAGAGGGAAGTGGTCTGCAAGGGCATAAGTGAAATCATCAGAACAGAAACTACCTCTCTCTACCCTGTTCCTGCCAGCACCAGTATTAGCAAATGAGCATTATCTGCACCATCTGATACTGAACGTTTTTCTCACTGTGTTAGATAAAGCAAGCCTCACAGACCTGAACTGGAGGAGAGCAATATGATAGGGGGTCATGATGCCTTGTAAGATGTGTTTTCTTATGTCCCAAGTTAGAAATCTGGTGTGCTGGCCTGTGACCCAGCCAGCCTGCCTCTGCCCATCTCAGCATGTGCCTTACTCACTGTCACAACCACTTGTCAGGTTTTACACTTAGTGAGGTGACATGGAGAGAATGAATCACACTGCTGCTTGCCAGAAATGTTCACAAGGCTGCAGACACCACATGGTTTCAATGAGGCCAGCAAACAGATGCAGTGACATCTTTATATGTCTGTGTTGTGTGATATTCAGCTGTCCTCCTTCCCTGTGGGTCCTCCCTGAAATGTGGTCCCAATGGTGAGGTCTCATTTTGTAGGTGATGGAAGGAGAGCAGGGACTGTTACAGAAAGGTACAGCTTGGCTTAGGACCGTGACTAGAGATTTGTGCACTCTCAGATACACACCAGGGACATCACTGTTACCTTGGTTACACACTTCCCATTTTCACATTTCATGAATGAAGAGGTAATGGAAAAGCTGCAAAGTGCAAAATAAATGTGTGCAAAAGAGAAGCATTTCAAAAGCAGGCTATACACAAAGCGTTTTTAACGTTTTTAACATCATAAAAACACAGGTAGAGGATCTACCTCTTCAGTCCTGTTCGCACTGTAGGATTTCTCCCCACAATTAGAGAACATGAATATTGAGGGACTCATTCAGCCTTTGAACCTGAATTTGAAGCTGAATGCTCAGTTTCATAGGTTACATCAGAGGTGAGTTTTGCAGGTACCTGAAAAGGCGATAGGAGCACTCTGTCTCACGTTCCTGTAAACTTTTTGAAAACACATAGCTATTCGTTTTTTACCTTGATACTTAACGCAGCTACTTCCGTGTGTGCTTTCAGTAAAGCACCACAGCAGCAAAGCTTCAGGAGGTTCATTTTGTAGCTCCTGAAAACCAGAGATTGAAAAAAACAGAGAAACCAAACGGAGAGAAAAACGCAACAGCACCACCCTGCTGCCATCTCCTTGTCAGACGGATAATAACAAGAGATCCACTCAAAGAATTGCAGTTGTGTAACTTCGAGCTGACAAGCAGAGTTTTTCCGAAGCCATCTGAAATGAAGAAGTTAGGCTGAACCAAATCCTCCACTCCTGCCCCCCAGCTCTAGCGTGGCTGGTTTCAATTTTATAGAAGAAGAAATAAAAGTGTTTAACATTCCTGGTAGTGAGAAACAGAGCAGAGGTCCACGGAGCCAGTGGAAAAATTGCTTCCATGGGTAAGGGTTCCATAGCAACCCTAACAACATAGGTCAGGAAGAGACTGAAAGAGATTGTTTAGTTCACTGGTGACAGAACTTTGGCACAGTGTTTAACTGACATGGATCTGGGCTGGCACCAGGGTCTCTGACTCACAGAGCCTTTGACAATGAATCTGGCACCAAGCATCAGAAATACGCTGTTGACCACTGGTCTGGTCCAAGCCCTAGCAGTAAGGCAGGATTGAATGCATCCAGACATTGGTGACAAATATTTGCTGCTCATGTGCTTCGCAGTCCACGGTGAGGAGTCCATGAGGTCCCCAGGTAAATTCTTGCCAGAGTCTCACTCCTGTCAATACACAGCCAAAGTAATTTTGCAGCAGTCGAAGCTGTTTTCTTCTTGTCTTTCTCCCAGCATCCATGACAACAGCTGGTTGTTGTCCTCCTAATAATAGCATATTACATATGGAAAGTAATCATCTTAATGCCTCTGAAGCTTTTCTTATCCAGATTACACAAACCCAGGCCTTCTAGCCTTCCAGCATGTATTGCTGTCTGCACTTTCCTCTCTGCTAAGATGTATGTCTAAAAATCTCAGTGTGAGACCCTGTGAAAGGAGAATGCGATATTATTTTACAAAATCTCTTAAGTACATTGGCTTTACTCACTCACAGGCCTTTTATCAATGGTCTCATTCACTCGGACTCTCACACCCACATGCTTGAAAGAGCCAAGATGTAAGTGTTTGGGTGGTCTGGCCAGGGTCACTTGTGTCCAACGCAGAGAACAAGGGGGCTGTGGAGGTCCTTCCTTGAAGATATTCAAATGCTGCCTGGACACAGTACTGGGCAACTAGCACTAGATTACCCCCCCACCCCCCCACACCAGATGACTTACAAAGGGTCCTTCTAACTTCAGCCGCTCTGTAATTCTGTGAAGGGATGACAGGTATCAGGTCCTCATCATATGTTAAACAACAACAGACTGATTTTTGGACAGGTCCTTCATACTCAAGAGACAAAAATCACTATGGCTTGATTCTTTGCATCAGAAATTTTACTTCAACCTCCATGAGTTTTAGACACATCTGCTCCAAGCTCCTTAAGGCCACAGTCTGTATTCTAGCTGAGAAGAAAGGAAAAGGAATGGTATATATGATATGCTGTTACCTTCCTCCCATCTTCCTCTTGTTAGAGGGTAGGGTCTTCTGCTGACAGGCAGTGTGAGGTCTTGTTCTACTGGAGTGCAGTCCTCAGCTTAATACAGGCAACAAGCCTTGATCTTACTGTTGTGGACTATGCCCTTGTTTAGTAATATAGTCAATTCTTTACATTACCCTCGTGCTTACACAACTCTATGCACTCATGCTTCATTTCTATCATCTTACTATTTCCATTGCAAGTCAGTATCTCACACCTTCTTCCATTGCCTAGTTCTTTATTTTGAGGTGCAGCATCCAACAACAAATACTGTATTCCAGGTAAGAACTCAGCCACAGTGAATACAATTCCTGTACCATTTTGAATGTGATGCTCCCTCTAACATATCCCAGACTGTCAGTGACTTCATTTGCAGCAGCAGCTG